ACATGACAGGTTTCAAGGACAGGATGGACTAACAAGATCCTCTTGGAATGTCCGGCCTGATAAGGATGGGGGCAGCCAAATGGGTTCAGCAAGAATTGATCAAACAGCCAATTATAGCTACAGCTTCAAAGTAGAGTGGGGAGGGGTGCCTAAAGTCAGCGCCTATTTAATCTCATGAGCTTCAGCATCCTTTGGCTTAGCTCTTTCACTAAATCCCACCCCTCAGGGTGCTTTGCTATCCTTTCAATACACTTTGTTCTTGCTTTACTCTTAACTCCTGTCTGTGGCATAAATTTGCTTTAACTTTTAACTGCTTGTCTGGCACTTTCAATCATGGACTGCATTAGGACACAAACTCGGGGAGCAATAATCCAGTCCAATATCACATCTGCACCAATAGTCTCTTAATATAGGTTGAACATCCCTAATAGGAAAGATCCAAAATCTAAAATGCTCCAAAATCCAAAACTTTTTGAGTGTGGGAATAATACCACATTGGAAAAGTCCACCTCACCTGATGGGTTGCAGTCAAAATGCAGGCACACTGTTTATTACCTTAAGGATATGTATATAAGGTATACAGGAATTTTATGTTTAGACTTGAGTCATGCTCCCAAGACATCTCATTATGTATATACAAATATTCTAAAATCTGAAAAAGTCCATCATCCTTGCAAAATAAATACTCAACATGTAGTATAAATTGTTGCCAAGGGTTATTTAGAGTGTTAAAGTTGTAAGTACCATATATTTGAGTGTTTTGGGAGGGAGTCATCAGATGGGGGAAAAAAGAGTGAGGTGAGAGAGCTGTCTGGGTATCAAGCATATTTAATGTAAAGACAATAACATTTGAGAACACATGATGGATTTTTTTTCTTCCAGTGTTGTCATTATAGTTCAAATTATTTTGCTCTTTTATATTCATCCTCAATTCTGATTGAAAAGGACAATTTGTTCCTCTATAAACATTTTTGAAAGTTTTCAATGTGGATTTAAAATATGCTGGCTTTTAAATTGTGCAGTTTTCCTCCAATAACTTCAAAAGTAAATTCAGAATCAGCACTCACAATACCAGAGGAAGATTAAAATCGAAACAATTCATACAGATGCTTACACTCCTCATAAATGGGGATGTTGAGAAGTAAAGTTTCAAATACAAAATGAGTTAAATATAGAAGGTACCCTTCATAAAAGTCACTCTGTTTCTCATGTGTGTCCTAGGAACTGTTCCAGCAGCAGTGCCTCTGCAGAAACAGTCATGGCCACGCTTGTTGATAAATATCTTGCTCCCTAACTCGAATGCTCTGAACATCAAAGATAAAATTGATGTCCTTTCCAGTTGCCTTTATGAAGTGGAAAATAATTCTTAAATTATACATATGATACATATGTATGGGTGTATGTATACATATATATATATACCCATAAATATATATATATATATACCCATAATATATATATATATATATGAAAGTTGACCATTGATTATCATTCAAGTTTTTTTTTTAATTGGGAAATCTGACTTTCCTAGAGACAGTCCCTTCAGAGACTATTGTCTGAAATCTTGCACCTGCCAAGAACTGAGAAAGAAACAAATATTTCAAACAAAATTCTGAAAGGAAATCAAAAGGTAGAAAATCTTGGGTACCAGGAATTCACATTTCATCATTCCATCTATGACAATGACTACTAAGCCACTGACTCATTCCCAGACACGGCACCAGGGATGTGGTGATAATTGGGGCAGATGTGGCTCTAGCCTGCTCTGAACAGGTGAAGGGAGACAGATAATTAAAGGAAAGATTGCCTTAAGGTGCTAAGTCTTGTGGTAGGGCTGAAATTCTCAACATGGCTGCATGACAGAATTACATAGGGATGATTGAGTCTGAATTTCTGGAAATAAAATGCAAGATTGGTGGTGAGATAGAAACTCCAAAGGCAGTTTAATATGCAAGCAAGGTAGAGGACCTCTGTGGAAATAGGTGCAGGATGTGACGGAATCATGTAGAAGGGCAGTAACTCATATCTCACCAGGCATCAGAATCCCTGTAGAGTTTTAAAGTGCAAATTGCTGGGATCCACTCAGGATTTTTGGATACATAGTTGAAGAGTTGTAGTAATCTACAACTCTACAAACGTTAGAACGTGCCTTTCTAACAAATACATGGGAGATGCTAATGCTGGTTCTGGAACCACAACTTGAGAATCACTGTAGTAGCAATAAATATCTAAATTCAAGAAGCTGAGCTAGATTTCGCAAAGTATGTAATGTTTATGTTTACCCACAGAGAGAAAGTGAAAGGTTATGGAGACGTGTGAGAATAGTTGAACTAAGTTTAAGTGTGTGTGCAGTGGACAAGAGAAGCTAGGAAGAAAGGTTTACATCAAGGGAAAAGCTGAACAAGATTTTGGAAATAGATCTGTGGAACATCCATTATGTTCAAACTACTTTGTGACATCTAAGTCCTGGAGTTGTAGTCTCACCAAAGAATTTGAATTTATTAGGAGTGTTGGTTAAGTGGGAATAGAATTTGACTAGATTTGTGGGTTTGTAATTTGCTGGAATCACATTCTGAGCATGGGTTGAAGATGGACAAAGCCTTGTTTCTGAATAAAAAATATGATAGTTTGTACATGGATATTGCCAAGGGAAAGGAGATGAATGGATGGATTCCAGTGGCATATTAGCCAGAATACATAGGATTTGGTGATTGATTTAGGTATTTAAGTGAGAAGAAAGTGGGGGGGAAATGGGGAAGAGGAAATGAGAGAGAGAGAAAGAGAGAAGGGAATGAAAGCAAGATATGTGGATTTGGCTGCTGGGTGCTACTGATGCCTTTTTCACAGTATCAGAGTGAGACATGGAGTTGACTGAATTTGCACATGGAGGTTGGGAGTGTGGTAGACCTTGAAACAGAGGCAGTCTGGAGGTGGGTGGATGCATGGGTTGGAGTGCATTCTGACCTGGAGGTAAAATTGGAAGGTTACTTGCATAGAAACAGCAGCTAGAGAGCTCAGGATAACCACAGAGCTAGCGCATAAGTAAAGAAACCAAAAAAAAAAAAAAAACAAAAAAAACAAAAGGAAGGACTATGGGTTTCCTGGGTTCTGGGGAGATTTTGATGGTTAAAGTTGAAACAATTATGTTCATTGCAGGATCACAACTTATGTGTCTCAGAAGTGCAGACTGAAATAAATGTGAAATCAGTTTTCTCAATGGGTGTCTTGTGGAGGTCTGCATACAGATGAAATGAAGTGCCTAGCATCTCTGTCTCTCACCTGTAGCTCAAAGAGGAAGAGGAGCCCTGCTGCCTGCCATAGCCAGGCCAAGTCAAGGTGACCACTGGAAGAAGTGTCAGGCTACATCACCTCCAGGCAAATGCATTGTTCTCAAACAATGGTCTCTGAATTGGACATCTAAGAGTAGTAAGTCTCTGTCTTCTGGTCTGCTGTGGGTGGCTAAGAATACATGAGTCCTTAGGTAGTGCATTGGTGAAGTGAGATGGGATGCATCTGTTTTTCCATCCACACATGATTGCAGTGCTCCTGGCACACATTCTGTATTTTCTGTTACTTGGCTTGGGCCAGTACCTCTATCTAGAGGGAATATGGATCTTTATTTTTAAAAATGTCCTACTCCCTGGTGAAATCTGGAGGAAATATGACATTTAAAAATCAGTAATCTTTGGAACAATGCATATTACCGAAAAATGTAATTTTATAGAAACGATGCAGTATATAAATGAGTTAATCGTGGACAAACATAGACCACAAAATCCCTGCCCTACCTGGTTTCTAGCATTGACACTTAGCAGAATTTTCAATCTTTCAGAAAAGGATGATAGGATCTGCAACTCTATCACCACTTCTTCATCCTTCCCCTACCCTACATTACAACTGTATCCCCAGGGCTTGTGGTGAGTCATCCCAGCCCCATTCAGCTTCCAGAATGCGCAGAGAGAGCACACTATAGTGGATGTTGTTGGCACCAGGCGGGAAAGCCTGGAAATGAACGTTCTCTCCTTTGCAGGGATGAATCCACACACACACCGAGGCAATACACTGTTCTTTCAAAATTTGTTCTGTCTCTTTTTTCCTCTCACTTTATCCCATCTTTTTCCCTTCAGTTTTCTTCTTTTTGAGAAGAGGTATGTAGATACTTCTCATAACACGAAAAATGTACAGTTTATTCTTTCATTTCATCAGTTTCTTGTGTGGGGATATTTCTCATTGATTTACCAGCCATGATTTAGGCTACATACTAAAGCTCATAGAGCCCAGTGAAACAGGAGAGGGGCCTTCACAAGTGAATGTAAACAGTATTTCATGACCATTATGTCATGGATTTTTTTGGGGGGGGTATTGTTTTTGCTTCTCTTTTGTTTGTGTTTCAGGTTTTTTTCTTCCTTTTTGGAGACACTCTTGCTGTGTAGCCCACACTGGTCTCATACCCATGATCTTCCTGCCTCTACCTCCCAAGTGCTGGGATTACAGATGTGCACCGCCATGTCCAACTCTGCTTCTTTTTTAAATGACCTATCCATTTTAGCTCTAAGAATGTATTTTGAAACATCTTTCTTTGCAGACTTGGCTCCAATCTTTACCATCAAGCTAGTTATGGCTAAAGTTTTAAACTCTCATGCCAATTCACTCAACCAAGTTGTGTACTACTAGGGAGATGCAACCCATTCTTTCCTAGAATGTCAGCTTTTCATGCATCAACAGAAACAATGAGTAGGGTGAATTAAATTAAAAAATTTAAACCTTCTATCTGATCCTTATTTATCTTCTGAGAAGTCTGAGGTGGTGAATGCCATCAGTGTATTTCTCCCTTTGAGTTTTACACATGCTTGATCTATCTCACAACTCAGGTTGGGACTCACATAGTCAATGCTTTTCAATCAGGGCTAATGGGTGCTGACTTTTGTTCAGGTATCCTACCTGTGAACCTAAACTGTTGTTCTCATTAGACCCCGGGAGAGGAAACAAGAAGTTCTTACCATTGTCATTGCCTTGCTTGATTTCCTCTGCTGTCCGGTCTATCAGAACATACAAGGACCAAACCACACAGGTGATGGCAATGACGTGGAATGTGACAGAGCAGAATATTTTCCTCCTTTCACTCGTGGTCATCTGTAGTTTTTCCCACTGCAATTGGAATGAATCACACATACAGTTAAATATAACTTAAACATGTAAAAATAAAAACAAAAGTAATTTTTTATTTTCCAAATGAATGAAGTTGAGTCATTTTGTTTTAACAATTCTCATTCTGTAGCTGGATGAGATAGTTCTAACATGGTACAGTTTTTAGAGAACATTTCCTTTCAGGTTTCTGCCTATCACTTCTTTGTGACACTAGATTGTAAGTAGTAATAGGTAACACTGCCTTCTTGGATTATTGCATTCTTTTTTCCTAATGCATTTTATTAGTGTATATTAATTAACACAAGGGAGTTTTATTGTGATATGTCCATACTTAAATATAATGTGTTTTGATCAAATTAACCTCCTCAATTACTCTTTCTTAAACATCTTTCCCTTTTTTTAACAATTTTAATATATTTTATTCTATTTTCATATGTGTAAAGTGTTTTGATCATATTCATCCCCTACCACCCTCTCCTTTCACCATCCTCCCTCCTGCTGGTTCACCCCAAAACATGGCATTCATGTCATGTCATTTTTTTTTTTTTGGTGGGCCTGGGGTTTGAAATCAGGGCTTCACTTTTGCAAAGTAGCTACTCTACCACTTGAGCCACACCTCCAGTCCATTTTGCTCTGGTTATTTTAGAGATGGGGGTCTCAGGATCTATTTCCCTAGGCTAGCCTCGAAACCTCAATCCTCCCCATCTCAGCTTCTCAAGTGGCTAGGATTATAGGCATGAGCTGTCATGTTTTTTAGGTGTAGATTACACATATAAGAAAAAAATGTGATATTTGTCTGATTTAGTCTAGCTTATTTTGCTTAATTTGATGGTGTCCAATTCTCCCTATTTTCCTGCAAACAACATAATTTCATTCTTCTTTATGGTTGAATAATACTCCATTGTGTATAAATACCTTTATCCATTCATCAGTTGATGGGCACCTGGACTGATTCCATAGCCTGACTATTGTGATTAGTGCTGCTAAAGATATGGGTGTGCAGTTATCTCTACTGAATGCTGATTTACATTCTTTCAGATATAAATTTAATAAGGATTTGAATGGCTGATGTATCTGAAAGAAATTCTGTCCACACTTTTCTAGGAAAATAAAATTTAATATCAAGAAAATGGAATCAAATCTGCTGAAGCCTTTTTCAGTGTGGCCTTTGTTCCTTGTTGCCATGAAAATTAGGAATTGTGTTTCACTTTTTTTTCCCCTTACTATATTCCCATGGAGAAACCAGATCATTATGATTTTAGGAGAGGTAAACTGACATGCAAAGCTTTTGATAACCCATGATTCTTTACATTCCTATGCAAAACAAAACAAAATCTTCAGAACATCACAGACCTGACCCTTCCCTACTCCAGCACATAGAATCCAATGCACAACTCAGCTAAAAGCAAGAAGGTGCACACTGTGTAGCATAAAGTCCTGGAACTGTCACCCATTGAGATATAGCTGAAATCGCTTTCTTTCTTTGGGTCCCAGTTGCTTCATCTTCATGAGAAACAAATTGTGTTAGAAGCCATGTCAGAGAGCCTGGGAAGAGGATAACCGTCCTTCACTTCCTCCTTTACTGGCAGGCTAATTCTGTGAGGGTAACACCACGTCCAGGCAAAGGCTCTTTCTAGCCTTCTTGGCAGAGACGGACATTGGTTGTTTTCCACCAATGAGATGCGGATCTCTACTAGGACATTTTACCTCCTGGATACAGGGGTTGTTATTTTCCCCTTTGCTTCATTTTCTCCTCTTTGCTGCCTAGCAGTCATAATTAACAGAAAGAATATCGACAACAATTGTCTTGCAGCCTTAGGAAAAGACTTGCAAAGTGTCCTGTTATATGGGAGAAAAATAAAGCCAGGTCTCATTAAGCCATTACCTCCAGGTCTCTGTTACTTGCTGTTAAACGCAATTCTGGATAAAAGAATTACACAGATATTTTCTAGCTTCCCTTTTGCTCTGAGGTTAAGATCTTATCATTTGATTTGTAGAAGTCTGCTCCTTTTTGGATTTTTGAGACAGGCTCTCCTTGTAGAGCCCAGACTGGCCTCAGTCTCCCAAGTGCTGGGATTACAGGTGTGTACCACCACACCTGGTGAAAGTCTGATCTTGATGCTCCAGAGAGTTTTGAAATGGTCTAAGGAAAAACAGTTTTATTTATAAATGATCCCTCCTCTCTTCTTACTAACCAGACATCCATCACAGTTTTCTTTGTAGGGATCTATTAGAATAAATTAGTAATTCATACTGCTCCCCCTACTGCTTGCTTTCTCTCATCAAATTATATTTCAATTATAAGAATGGTGGAATCTTAATAATGTAGCTAGGGAATGAACAGGTGCTTCAATTTAGACTTTATTTATTAATTTACGGTACTGGGAATTGAACCTAGGTCATCTCACTCGCTAGGCAAACCCCCAGCCACACCCACAGCCCTATTTGTTTTTATTCTCATTTGAGATAGGGTCTCCTTAACTTTGCCAGGGCTGACCTCATACTCTCCATCCCCTGCCTCCGCCTCGCGAGTAGCTGGGAGTACAAGCATGTGCCAACAAGCTTGGCTTGGATTCTATTTTGAATGAACCAATATTGAATTGAGAAGAATTTTAGTATTACTTTGGCTTTTAGTAAACTTCACATGAAGTTTATGAAAGATTGGTTTTTAAGATCTTGTTCTGGCACTGACGTTGCAATGTTAATCTGAATGACCTCTGTAACCATAGAACATTACCAAATGGCAGTGACATTGTGTGATAAACATTAATAAATATTCCTTAAATTACCCCAAGATTCAATATCACCAGATAAAAAGTGCAAGATGGCAGGAGGACCGGCTTTACAAGTTCAAATTCTTGAAATGTTCCAGTGCGTAATATTGCCTTCAGTAACAGAATAATTGTACTACAACCACCCTCAATAGTAAAACTAGCTTAAAAAACCCCTTAAAAATGGGAACTTCTTATATCTGAGGAGCGATTTGGTAAAAATGGCTGAAACGCATTATTTAAAAATCAATGAACCTCAAGTAGAAAAACCTCAGAGCTGACAAGGGTGAACCATGTTTGTAAAGATTCCTTCTACTTTCAGACAATAGAAGCTCAGAAATTGTCACTTCTAAGTGACATATTAAGGAGAAATGAGTGATCAGTCTTTTCCACTTATAAATCCTTACAGGAGCTACACAGAAATTCACTAGAAATCATACAGGTAAATGTAGTGCCACAGCGCCCCCTTCCGGGTGATTTCCTTACTGCATGCCACGTTCAGTACATGGTACCAACAGGAACCAAGCTATTTATGGAATGTTTGTTCATATTGTCTGTTCAGGTTTGTGTAAAATGCTTCAATATGTTTTGCAAGACTTCACAGTGAGGAATAGATGGAGAAGGTAAGAATAGAAATCTTATAACAAAAGTGTTGCCAACGTGCAGTAAATTAATATTTGCAATGTCAAAATTCAGCAGCTGTTAACAAAAGCGTTGGTGATAGAAAAGTGCTAACCTGTGAAAATTCACATGACATTTGGCTCCCTTGCCTAGCTTCATAAAACAATGTGCGAATTGTGCCCATGTTACCACTGTTACACCCAGGGAAGAGGGTGGCAGAAGAGCCTCTCTGGATCTCAAATTGTGTTCCCTGGATCAGCAGTGACAGTGTCAGCATCACTTGGAAGAGACGCAAATTCTGGAGTTCCATTTTTGATATGACTCTGTTGGCTTTTCCCACAGCACAGTCAGAAAACGAGCCATTGCCTTGTTGTCGATGAAGGCTAGCACCCCACCCCACTCATGGAGCCACCTCACTGTTGCCTTGCCGCTAGCAGGGTAGCGATGCCACTGCCTTTCCTGTGCAGATTATCAGTACTGAGCCAAACATCCAGTCCTCAAGTCCCTCGTTGGGAAGAAACCACGAGTCTCTCTAGCGGTCACAGGAAGCTGTGGAAAACCGAGTAGCTCCCTCTTCCATCTCCAAGGGGCATACCGTCAAGGTTACCACCACTCTTTCCACTGCCACTTCTCCTGTTCTCTTTCATAACTCAAAAGTGAGGCAATAGCCAAGATGACAAAACCAGTTTCACAAAATTTTGGTCTTTCCTACATAGTTGGTCTTGGATCTTGCTTCAGACTTTCTAATCCCTGGGTCTTTGGTACTTCTTTTATTGTTCTCAGTCTTTGCTCTCTTGCTGACACCCTTAAGCAATAGGAAGAATGGGGAAAAAAACTCTATTATTTACTCAGAGATACACAACTAGATTTTTTTCTGGGAAGATTTCTGAATGATAAAGTCAATTATTCCTGTGAAACTTTCCATTTGCTTATGCTAAATCAAACTGTACATTATGATATTGGATTTTCTAATTTAAATTACTTGCATTTTTCCTAAAATATAAATTCAAAACTACTGCCTAATGAAAATGTTTTAAAAGTCTTTGTACCAGTGAAGAATGAAGGCAGCTTATTTGCACAATACCAAAATATCTGAGGTAGTGACTACTTTGCCAAAGGCGTTTCTTTTTTTGCTGAACACAGTTCAGCTATACTTCCCAGCTCTCCGATAGCCTTTTCAAGGAATCTGCAGTATGATAGAGCCAATAACCACCACCTGGTGGCACTAGACCCAAACTAAGGTTTTTCTGTACAGGCAGGTCCGAGAAGCTCTCTCCCTGCTAACCTACTGCACAGACTTACTTTCATTTCATCAGTCAGTATAAATGCAAAGGCACATTTTAAATGCTTAAATTTTCCAGACTCTGTTATATTATTGTGGGTTTTGCCACAATATGAGTGCAATAATACATACGACAGTGGGTGTAAAATATACACCTTCATGAGCACTTTGTGCTAGAGGATGCTAAATACATCCTTCAATGGCTCAGAGACTTGCCAACTGGATCTAAAGTATCCATTTCTAGGAAGCACTAGTTCTCAAAAGAATGGTCCCCAGAATCAACATAGGAACTTGTTAGAAATCTAGTATTTGGGGCTCCATATCAA